CGATTATGGGAATTCCGTTCCCCAATTTCCCGAGCGAAACAATGGAAGAAAGGCGAAGATAGGCGTTGCGTAAGAAACGAATCGTAACGAGAAAAACGTTCTTTCTTCTCTTCCTGCTTCTCGATCGCACGCCGTCCTATGTCAACGTCGGTTATGCTAGTGTCGTTTTGAATCCACATCTCTCTCCGATTGCACTTTAAATAATCATAACGTATCGAGAAATTCCAAGTTCCTCGCTTCGATATCAAAAAATATACGAATTTTTGCTCGTTCGAAATGGAAATGAAAATTAAAAATATCGTTGTATTAAATATCCGCTTTAAATAGTAGATATTTCTATATTAATAGATTCCAAGCGGTTATTCTTATTGCGAAATTGAAAGATTTTGAAAGGACGACGATTCGAAAGATTGCACGTAGATTTTTATAATAACAAAATCATCGCAACCAGTTTCGTACTCGAACGATAATACAGAACCATCTATTCTACGTATTCTACGATACGAAGCTTTGCGAGTCGTCGCATCGTCGAAGGTTATTCCGTATTACGTGTTTGCATGGTATCGCGTGCGATCATCCAGTCACGAGCGCGTCTTACGGGTTTCGACGAGGCTACGTTATTTAACGCTTCGCGACTCGTGGCTCGTAAGTAAAGATCGGAGCCACGCTCCTGCCTAACCTAATGAATCTGTCCGCGTTCGCTCGATCGATAATTTCTCTCGAACTTGATTTTCCTCCCGAGACTTAGAAAGCCGTTCAAATTACACGTACGATTTGTGATTAGCAACAGAAGCAATCTTTGTTCGTGGATATTCAAAATATCTATATCTTCGTTCATATATATTCGTGCTTTACACAGTTTGAATAGAAGAAAATTTTATCTTTCGTGTTCGTGACGAAGCACGTTGTGCGTAGTAAGTATTGTTTACTGCTGGAAAGAAGTCTCGCGGGACGGCACAGGGGCAAGAGGTGTCCTTCGCTAGGACTGCCTATCCCCACCTTGTCGACGCTTTGTTGACAATTCTTACACCACACACGCATCGCATGCTGGTAGAAAACCTATAATTCGAATATTCAAAGTCGATAATTATCTAAGACTGAAATATTTTTGAAACTATTAATTATTTATAAATTAAACTTGTATCGTTACAGGGATAAAAATATTTTTATATTTTATATTTTCCTATATTTTTCTCGACACGTTAGAATATTCTGGATTCTAATGCATCGAAGTGTTTAGATACAGATCGTCGTTTTATTGCCCGTCTCTGCGATACTTAATATATTAATTCGATGTTGTCCACTCTTCTCGTGCGTTTCGCGTCTCGAAAATATCGAGAGAGAAAGAAAGAGAGGGAAAGAGAGATCGATAGACCGAGGACAGTCCCGAGTTTATCGGTTGACCAAGTACGGTCGCGCGACCAACGATCTTTCTCAATCGCGGCTTAACCCTTGCCGGTCCGGATTCCGGTCGCCGGTTGGTCGCATGAAATCGATTCTCGCTCGCACTCCCGGGGACCGGCTTTTGCCTCTAATTTTTTCCCCTCTCCCCCACCCAGGCCAGATCAATATTTAACGAACCGTAAGATATCGAGAGCGGCGATTCGTAACCTTAACTGGAGCGGAAGCGAAATCTGAATGGACAATGGCAAAGGTGGAGAGATCGATAACGGGGTCGTGAGCTTGATTACGATCGTACAATTATACGACACCGATCTTTTTCTTCGTTAGTCACGAACAGACGAAAAATTATATCTATCCATTTTCCACGATTCGATATATTCGTCCATAATTCTTATTTCGCATGCGAAAATCGATCGATCGGAAATGGCGTGTCGAACCTGTCGAATCTTCAACCCATAAAGGTTGAATTAAGCGGAACGTATCGTCCCGACAATCGCGTCCATCAGAACGAGAATTCCTCCGTTCAAATATTTTTCAATCGGATGGATTTCAAAGGTGCATTTCGCGATTCGACGTTTCCTTCTCGTCGTTCGCAGCTCCCCCCGATCCTTCTTCCAACGGATTATTACGTTCGTTCGATCGGTCCTTCGTCGTTCGACGCACGATCTCGAAACTGAGAGAGGGGGGAAGAGTCGAGAAAGAAGAAGAAGAAGAAGGAAAATATCGGCGGGAGAAGCGTGGCAAAGCGTGTGTTACGTCGAGCCTCGTACTTTTACATAATAGAGGATAGGTTGGCTCGAGTTTAGCCTTCGTGAGAGTGGAGGTGGATAGGCTGGCGCGAATGGTAGGTGGGTGAGTGGGTGAGTAGGTAGGTGCGCGTATCTGGAATAGTCGATTTCTATTCTCCGTCACTGCCAACCGTTTCCCTCCATTCGATCGATTCGAAGCGAATCGCCTCCTTAAAGCGGAGTTTCGGAGCGTTGAGCGTTTTTCCATCCGGCTCCATCGATCTAAGCTTTCAAGAGGGCCGGCACGGAGTGAAACTCTCGCGAATTGTTTTTCGCCGCGCTCGATATCGCGTCGATCGTATCACTTTCACCTTTCGTGAATACGTTAATAACCGTTCGAAAAATATAAGTTTCGAGAGTTTTCTCGTCAAGAGTATTTTTTTTTTTTTTCTTTCGTAAGAGCGCAAATAGCGCTTGAACGTACTAAGAGCGTACTTTCGAGAATCATTTTCGCGAATACGAGGAGTAATTTACATTCTCGACGCTATAATGTCCACTCTTCGATGCAATCCTCGAGATATTTCATTTTGAAATAGAATAGCATCCTGAGATAATAATAACGAAAAACATCTTAAGAGATGATAATGATCAAATGCGTGAGGAATAATTTTCACTTTCAACAATGTGTCTACTTGTAAAGGAATCCGAATAAACTCTAGATAATCGTGAGAGAAAATAGTCAAATTGACATAACTAAAAAAATATTTTCTGATTGCAAATCTAAATAAATATTCTGCAAACGATCAATGAAAAAATCGTAAAAGAGAATGATCGAACGCGTGACCATCCGAGAGTAATTTTCACTTTCAACAATGTGTCTATTTGTAAAGGAATGTCTTCAAAAAATAAATAAATTCTAGACAGTCGTAAAAGAAAATGATGAAACGCGTGACTAAAGGAATACGCTTCGATGCAACCTTGAGTAAACTCGCAAATGCATTTTAAAATAGTATAGCTCGCACCTTGAGATAACGAAAAAAATCGTAAGGGAAAATGATGAAATTGAATAAATTCTAGATACTCATAAGAGAAAATGATCAAACGCGTGACGTAAAGAAATATTTTCCGACGCAATTCTGCTGAATAAACTCGCATTCTGGATGCATTTGTGAACGATCAATGAAAAAGTCGCGAGAGAAAACGATGGAAACGCGTGACTCTATCCGAGAGTTAATTCTCACTCTAAACGCAACGCACTGCGAGGGATACGTGTGTATCCTCTCTCGAGAATTTTACTCTCGGGCAAGATGAAAATAATGGTGTAAGAGAAAACGATGATGAAATAACGCGACGTAACTTTCTACGCGTCTAAACCGCTGCACGTCTCGAGACGTTTGTTTTTTTACGCGGTGAACCGAACGCGGTGAACGCCGGGTTTCAAGTACGAATCTTTGCCACGTTACTGGCAACCCACCGGCAAGATCAGGTGCGCGCAAGATCAACGCGCAACGCAACGGTTGATGTAAGCGGCCGTCCGAGTCGACGCGCTTGCCTTAATTGCGTAAGGTGAAATTTCGCCTCGGGACACATCTCCCCGCGTTTCGCTCTCGATTCCTCCTCACCTTCTCCGCTATCGCCCTCGATCGAACCACGTGAACCACGCGCATGAATACACGTCGATATCTGTCCTTCTCCTTCCCCTCTTTCCCCTTCCATCCTTTCCCCACGCGCAAAAGAAAAGAAAACGAGGAAGGAAATAATAATACGATTCCATCCCCGATATCCAAGATCGCTCCTTTGTTTTCCCTTTCTCCCCACCGATAATTGGAAAGTTCCTCCGTGAATCGATCGATCGATATCATCGGTAGAATACAGCCGATGTGTATGCGCGTGAGCACAACCTTGGAATTCCTCGAATTGCAGCGATACCGTTTCTTTCGACACCGATGACTCCCTAGGGATCAATGGCGTACGCTCGACCAGCCTCTCGCTCCGGCGAAATTGGAAACGACCGTTTCTCCATATTCTCGCTCCCGTTTACAGTAATATTACAGAGAGTGATTTTTCCATCGCGTGGAAGGAATAGGTAAGAAAGCGAGTCGAGGATATTGGACGAAACGCGGCAAACGCGCGTGCCGTGACCGCACGTTAATCACGTGAACGCACGTTATTTACGAAAGGTTTATCTTACAAGTTTTTCGTAAAATATTTATGGCATCTTTCGTTTCTCATCTAGATTGGATATTGATAAAAAATTGTAGATTATTATAGAGCGAACGCAATTCATTCGTGTCATATCTCGAGTCACACAGCTTCGATATCTATTGGCATTCTTTCTCCTCGGCTGGGTAATCGTTCAACAGCAGTGACGGGGAAAAATTTAATAGTCGAAGTTACGAATAAAGTTACTTCGATAATTTATTGCTCGAAACATAACGATAATTGGAAATAATTGTAATGCCAAACGACCGAGCTTTTATAGCTACGAATAAATTATTATTCAAGCATTTTAACAAGCAATTACTTAAGGCAACTTTATTCGAGATTTTTAACTACTTTTTACTTTTTCTAACTACTTGGGTTAAATATCCAACTCTGTCGATGACAATTGCTTCCGCTCGACGCCATTTTTATGCGACGTTGCCTAACGTTCGCCCATCCAACGCTTTCCATCCTTCTTTTCTATGCTTTTTTTTTTCCTCCATCCGTTATCTCGCCAGTTTATTTTCGCCACGGCAAGATCCTTCTCTTATCGAGTTACGCTTCCTCGTGCATAACTTTAGAGTCACATCCGTCGTTGATAACGATGGATGTTGCAGACTAATTAGCGGCGATCGGTGGAAATGTACGCGTGTCAACATTATCGACCGACATTTTTCTTTTTTCCCCCTCCCTCGCGTTTCCCATCGGCGAAGGACGAAGGATCGCGAACGAGGCAAAGTTGGACGGACGCGATCAGCCAAGGGCACGGAAATAAGTTGCATTAGGCTAATCGTTAAATGATTTATGATCCACGAATAGGAGAATTGTGACAATCGCTCGCTTCGCTTTTCACGAATTGAAATTGAATTGAGACTTTCTTTTTTTCTCCTGAATGACGAGTCCAAATCGAAATCAAAAAAAAATTGTATAATTAAAATTCTTTTTGATTAAATGTGTTCTTATGTTTTTTTTTCGATTTTGTCTATTAAAATAATGATAAGACTAGGTAAAGAAGATGGAGGTAATGAAAGTCACTTGGGCAGCGACTCTTTTCACGATAAAAGAAGGGGTTAGTTGAGAAAAAAGGAAAATTAAACTAAATTAAATTGGAAAATAGAATATTTTTTTAATAACATAATTTTTATTGAAATCGCGCTATTTCTCATGAAAAGGACCAAAGCATTGTTTTATTCTTTCTAACGATTGAACGAAACACATTTGGCACTAGGTATCTTTCACGAATTTTCCAATTCATTTACAACCGACCGAAAAATATTTTCATTGGCCGGGAAATACCTACCTAAAAATATTTGTTTTAAAAAACTTTGTTACCGTTCCACACACGCCCGCAAACAGAAATAGATACAACGAGTTTTATCGTTCCATCCGTGTTTCGAAAGCGAATAATATTGATCAACGGGATTAGAGGGAAAAAATAGCCCAAGGGCAATATTTGGGGGAAACATAAAAAAAAAAAAAACGAACAGAGAAAATCGAGATTCCATCCAAATACGATTACGATTTCCTTCCAAGAACGCCACTTTTTTTTTTTTTTTTTCATCGAATCGATCTCGAAAGTGGTAACGAAAGTGATATTAAAATCGAAATTCTCCTTTCGAATCGACCTTTCGAATCACTGTCCATCGACGGCGTCACGCTCGTGATCAGGCCTTGTCTTCTTCGTTCATTCATTCGAACGAATGACGTAATAACGAACATCCTTTCATCAGAAATACGCCCGTGAAATCGCCTCCATAATTAATTAATTAAACATTCGAGACGAGAAGGTTGACTCGGTGAAAAGATTCGGGAATCTTTCGAGATCGATCAATATCGGGCCGCGAGGAATTAGCATTTAAAGGAGTGGACGCCTTTTATGGGGAAGAGGAGGGGGAGGAGGAGGCCGCGCTCCAAGTGGGACGAAGATTTATTCGAAACGGAATTAATAAACGCGCGCGCGGGTCACACGTTTATTAGTCACCCACCTATCGAGAGCCCCTTTCGACTCGAGGGCGTGTTCGACTCGAGGACAAAAGCGTGGAAGAATCGAATAATCTCCGGATAACCGTTGCACGGAATTGGGCAACGAAATACGTGTCGCGAGCGCGAGTAGGTGTGCGCGCGCATGCGCGTGTGCGTGCGCATGTGTGCCGCGCTTTCTCGACGATCGAGAGACGAGGATACTCGATTTATTAGAGGCGGTAGGTGCCCGGTAGCCAGCCTCTTTCGAGCTAAAGAATCGTTAGATCGTGTGTCGCTGTCCA